AGATTGGGTGCAATTCCCACACTGTGTCTCTGGTGTTGTCCCCTGCAGGGCCATGGGTCAGTGAGGGCCATCATGTCGTCCCATAGTGGGGCTGGCCATGTGAACCATGGGGTTTTATTAGGACTGTTAACAGGTCACTACAAGTCAAGATCAGGAAACATTAAAGATAACATCACTGACCCACAAGGACATCTGTCCTCAGTTGTCCATATCACTCCTATTAGTGTCCGTTATGGTTCCCTCAAGACATTACTTCTGCAGCCTGTAGTTTCTCCATATACAGCTAGCTTCCTGTGTTAGATGAATTTGTACAGCCATTATTTCCTTTGTAGACTCCCGTGCCATCACCAACAACTATATGATTTAACATGTGGTAAGGTGTGTTCTCTTTCATTACTCATACAAGGATTTAAAATGTTTTGAATGATTAGAATTTAGGATCATGTGCTTCATTTCTTTCTCTCATTGAATCCATAATTGTAATTTCTATTATGCAAGATGCTGCTCTGAAACTGTGGTGGATAAAAAAAAACAAAGGATAGAATTCCTGCCCTCAAGGAAGTAACCTAATATCTGAAATACAGTTAGAATCTGGTCTAGGAAGGTGAAAATGAGGCAAGCTAGAACCAGCACTAATAAACATGTTTTATAGAATTAAATATGTATTTGTTCTTGTAATTGGACACACATATAACTAGCACAAGCTTTGTTAGATATTTAACATGGTCGTTGCGGTAGTTTTATAGACTAGGAAACTGTCAGCTTCCTTAGGCTATTTAAAAATTGTGAACTGCATAATAGGCACAGATTCACTTTGATGTAATATCTCTGAAAACCGAAGCACCTAGATGATTTTCCTTTGTTGTTTTTTGTGTGTGGGGGTGGGCATATGGGTGAGAAGAGGGGGAGTGTATGTCCTTCAGCGTCTGGTTTCATAGATGTTTGGGATTCTTGGATTTTTTAGTCATTCTCCAATTACATTAACAATGATTCTTAGAGGTACGAAAGTCACATCATTGTAAACAGTTTCGATTTGGTGGAGGGTCTAGAGCAGTGGTTCTTAACCTTCCTCATGCTGCGACCCTTTTATACAGTTCCTGATGTGGTGATCCCCCAACCATAAAATTATTTTTGTTGCTACTTCCTGTCATTTTGCTATGTTATGAATCGGGCGACTCCTGTGAAAGTGTCTGCTGGTCTAGAGGCATCACAGGCCCATGAAATCTTGTTTCATAGAGTGCTGTCTTCTAGAAACTCTTCAGTTTGTTTGTCTGGTAACAAAAGCTAACTCCATTGTAATATTGAAACATCTAAAGGCCAGAGCCCCTGGATTTATTTTATATTCAGTGATCCTTTCATGCCCACACATAAAATATTATGTAATTAAGTTATAATCGTTTTACTAGTTTTTTATATGTGACACATTACAGACATGTTCTGAAATCAACCTTAGCTTAAATACAATATTTGCAATGCAATCTTTGATTTAAACCCATAATGTGGGTGTCTTGAGACAGAATTTGTGTGTTCTAACAGATTTACAAAAGAGATTTAAATTTGGACTAGGAAAACCCATGAAAGGGGTTGCTGGAGAGTTAAACTCTGAAGAATGAGAGGGATTTCATGAAGCAAAGGTAGGAAGGCAAATCTACCAGGTGTAGGCAGGCCTCAATGTCTTGTTAAATATAGGAATCCAGGAACCCAGTGCCATCAAACCAATTCTGATTCATAACCACCAGAAGGTGTTTGTGGATGTAAATCCTTATAGGAGTAGACAGACTCATCTTTTACCCAGAGTGGCTAGGGATTTTGAACCATTGACTTTGCTTAGCAGTCCAACATTTACCCAACAGCCACAATGGGCACCTAAAATGTGTTGGATTCTTCATCATGATTTTATATCATAACTATTCTATGTCCTCTAGAAAGATGGTGCAAGCTGCTAGTCAGTTTCACTGGCCTCCCGTGGGTAAGGATTTGTTCCAAAGCTAAATGCAAGAAATGGGCTCGCATGTAGCCTAGTAATTGGGCAGACTTGAAAGTTCAACACTGTGTGGTGGTTAAGACATATAAACAAACAAACCAACCAAACTCCTTGCCAGAGTAGATTCCGACTCATAGTGTCCCTGTAGGACAGAGTAGAATTGCCCCCTGCCAGTTTCTGATTGTAACTCTTTATGGAAGTAGAAAGCCCCATCTTTATGCTGAACAGTGGTTGGTGCTTTTGAACTGCTGACCTTGCAATTGGCAGCACAACTTCTAACCACTATTAGGTAATACAATTCCTGACAGAGGGCTATTCTGATATGCGAATGTCACCATTTCAGAGGATAACTGAGCAGGGTTAAACTTTTACTTGTTGACCATCCTTTAAGTTGTAAGGAGCCCTGGACTGCTAACCACAAGGTCGGCTTCTGAACCATCAGCCTCTCCACAGGAATAAGATGTGGCTTACTATAAAGAGTTATAGCCTCAGAAACCTAAAGGGGCCAACTCTACTCTGTTCACTAAGGTCAAGATGAGTAGGAATCAACTAACATTTTGAATTTAGGTCCTCAGCGAAGCCACAAATTAAGAGGTGAAATTCTAGTAAGAAAATTAGGATGAATTTAGGTCCTCAGCGAAGCCACACATTAAGAGGTGAAATTCTAGTAAGAAAATTAGGAGGTCTCAATAGTTTACTTGTGTGCTATCTACCTTCTAGAATTTCCATAACAGAGAAAATAGCTGTGATGGGAAATCAAAACTATTGGTTTTAAGGTAGTAGTGATGAGTCCCTAGCGCTCACCTGGGGATACGCTGATCCATGAACTCTAGCCCCAAATATATTTTCCTTTTCATCTTCATCCCAGACTCTTATTTTTCCTCCCGACCTTACATAACACTCCAGTAGTCGAATACCTTACTTTAAAAAGAGCCCCAACAGCTCGTTGTGTTCCAAATGCCATGATCTCGTTATATGGTTAAGGCAAATTTAGTTGTCAATTGAATGACATGATCCAAAGTACACAGAAGATCCGGGATCAAGGTGACCCGTTAATGCAGATTCTCCTCTCAGGCCAAATTCATAGGCTGACCCCTGGGCTATTTCAGAAAAATGCAGAAGTAATTCCGAGCACCGGGACCCTCTTAATCAGGTGGGCTAAAGTTTCTATGCTTTGTGGATCTTGGCATGCTTCAGCCTCTTTCTTCAGGAGGAGCCCTGCGCTTCTCACACCCGCAGCGCCAAGGGCGGAGCGCCCGGAAACGGGCGAGTAACCAAGCGCTGAAGCTTCAGCCCATTGTGCCCCGAGCTAAAAACTCGGGCTCCGCGGCTGATGCAGGCGGAGGCCCCGCCCCGCGCGTGACGCCAGCGTCAGGCCAGTCCCGGCATGCTCTGCGGCGGCCGGCGGCGGAGCGCAGCGAGAGGGATTTTCTCCGAGTGCCAGCCCGGTTCGGTTCAGTTGCTGTCCAGACCCGGGTTGGCGTGAGGGTTCGCTCCCGTTATTCTTCTATAGCTCGCCCGCCCGTCTGAGCGCCCCCAGCCCTCAAGCGAGGGCGCCCCGGGACGGAAGGATCCACCAGCCTGTCGGAGCCCGCTGTGCTCGTGGTCGCCGTCGCCGTCGCCGTTGTGGTAGTCTCCGCCGTCGCCTGGGCCATGGCCAATTACATCCACGTCCCGCCCGGCTCCCCGGAGGTGCCCAAGCTGAATGTCACGGTTCAGGATCAGGAGGAGCAGCGTTGCCGGGAGGGGGCCCTGAGCCTCCTGCAGCACCTGCGGCCGCACTGGGACCCCCAGGAGGTGACCCTGCAGGTAACGCCCAGACAACAGCCCAAGGTTTTTCCACACAATTCTCCCCGTCCCTCCCCCCCTCTACTTCTCGATCACCAGCGAGGACCTACGGGAACGTCTCATCCCCCAACCCTCTGGGAAGTGGCCCAATATTTAGTCTCTCAGGCCTGGGAAGGTCACTCCCCCTTCCTTCTCAGCGAGCTCAAGCTTGATGTTGCCCGGAGGGCCAGTTTTCTCTTTTTAAAAGCGGGTACGCAAGCGACGCACCCGTCTACACCCGGGGAAGGTTCCTGTTGCTAATTGCCCCTCCTCCCACTCCCCTGTCCGGTGTAACTGTAGCATGAACCCCATTTTACTGCCGGTGAAGGGGGTCTTCGCTGAGTGCCGAGCAGCCATCTCGCCTCTTTGCTCAGATATCGTAGTAGCTAATCCTAATCCTCTCTGATTTTTTTTCTTTCCCTCCCCTTTCCCGTTGGTTTACTCCCATTGATGCCTCACCCTGCATTTTATTTTCTCAGATCCTCGCATTGGCCCGAACCCTCGATGCCAAAATAATGACCATGACCGTGCATTACTAGATTGGGCTTTTAGGTAGCCAGCCCTACGCATTTTTATGTGAATCATTTTAGAATTAAAAAAAAAAAAGCATTAATAGAAGGAACTACCTGATGTTAGCAAGGACTGTGGCTTCTGTATTTCCTTTCATGAGCTGCTGTAGTCAGAGATTTAAGAAAAAAAATGGGAGGGAAAAAAAAATCCCCAAACACAGAAATTTTCAATTAAATGTGAAACTTAGGGTTTACAATGAGTGAAATTTGTTTTCAATGCCATTTGTTTTTTAGTTTTGAAGTTCAAGAATTCCCTTTCTCCTGTTTCTTTGCAAACAAACATAAAAAATTAAAAGGCAGCAATATTTGGGATTTACGTCAAATCCGAGCAAGAGAGTCAGGATATTTCTTGTAAAAGGCAAGTCATTGGCCTCGCTATGTTGATTAATTTATTCAGTATGGTTTATTGCTTTAATACTTAGATTCTTTGCTAAACTAGCCACTTACATGAAGATGAATAAAACATGAGTGCCCCACAACCCAGAATAGTTGCTGACACTGGGGCTTTAATGGTGTTAGTTTCAGTTCTGACTGCCTAGTAGATTTTTCAGCAAATTAAAAGGACTATGCTTTGGGAAAAAAAGATACAAAAAGCTTCAAAATATTGAGGGAGTAATGTCAATCAGCTATATAGGAGAGTAATTAAAAATGTAATTAAATTAATATGGCATATCTTTTAATTAAGGAAATAATGTCATCAAACATGAAACCCAGTATTTCCTTAGTTTATTGTATTTAAACTCATTTGTAGTTGATTACAGAAGGGTTTAAAATTTATTAAAATGATTTTCTGTCAAAAAAAAAAGATTTTCTGTCAGTTATTTTTAAAGGTGGTTCTACTATTTGGTAAACTTTATTACAGGCAATTCCTACTACTTTTGCTCAATGACTGAAGTTTGAAAGCTTTGAAGACTAATTTCCTTTGGTGAATTTCCCCACACAACAGTAATAATCATAATAGTGCTGTGTGTCAGACTCTTGTGTTTTATCACTTAGTTCCCCCAAAAACCTTTCTTAGGAAGAATTCAGGTTAAAAAGGACAAAATGTCATAATATCAAATTGATTTTGATTGTTGGGAAGTAACTACTTGTAATTAATCTTGGCTTTTTTCTATGTAGCAATTTTGACAACAGTATTTGAACTCATAATCCAAATTTCTAATATACTCTGTAAGTGAAGGTAAATTCTTCCATTTATTTTGTCCAAGGAAGGATATTAGTTAGAAATGTACTCTGGTAATTTTCAATGGGAATTTTTCTTGAGAGACTTTCTGTTATTTCATTTGAAGTACAAAGTAAACTCATGTCTCACATTCTAGAAAGGGAGGTGCATATTATATAGTCTATAGATTATAGCATAATTTAGAAACAATTTCCCCCCCTCAGTTTTCTTTATGTGATTTTAAAATATGTTTCAAATATACATTAAGAGCTTATTATAATAATACTCATACTTGTTTTACCAGGAGATAATTCCTGCAACTTCTAGAACATATCAAAAAATCCAGAAATAAGCAAAAAAGAATTTGTGATAAAGTATACCAAGTTTAATTTTTGCTCAAAACTTAAAGGCACATGGAAGAAAAGATATTATTTTAGGTAGACTTCTAACAAGTTACATTACTTGGTTTTCGTATCCTTACAAGATTAGAAGAATCAGAGCGGACAGATGGAGATTTTTGGAGTGCATACCAAAATATACTGCCATCAATTTTGACTCAGTGACCCCATAGGACCAGGTAGAACTGCCCCTGTGAATTTCCAAGACTAATTCTGCTGGAGTAGAAAGCCTCATCTTTCTCCTACGGAGCAGCTGCTGACCAATCACTACTTTACCAGTGCTCCTCCAGTTGTCCAGTATTCGAGTATACTCTGGTGGTCCCTGTGTGTCACAGTAGAACTGTGCTTCATAGTTGATTTTTTTGGAGGCAGGTTTCAAACCTTTCAAGTGGACTTCAACCTTCAACCTTTGGTTAGCGGCCTAGTGTGTTAACAGTTTGCACCACCCAGGATTTCTAAATTATGCTATCATCTGTAGACTACATGGTCCATACCTCCCTTTCTAGAATGTGAGGCATGTGAATTAGAAGGCCCTAGCTCTGGTGGTATAGTGGTAAAGGATTGGGCTACAATCAGCAAAGTTGACAGTCCGAAATCACTAGCAACTCTGAGGAAGTAAAGGGAGGTACTTTTTTACTCCCATGAACAGTTACAATCTGGGAAACGCACAGGGTCAGTTCTACCCTGTCCTATAGGGTTGCAATAAGTCAGTATTGACTCAATGGCAGTGAGAAAATCCAGGAGTTCGGGCATGTATTTTTTCGTATTGGATATAACACTGAAATCTGGATTTATCTCTGCTAACTTCCGTACGGGAAGGTCAATGAAGAATGTAGGAGATAAGACTTCATACAGGAGGGCCACTGATGTTTGAAGGAGATATAAATTGATCAGATGGAAAGGGGCAGTGTTTCAGGGAGAAGAGAACTTTCACAAAAGTATAGAACTTGGGCTCTGGGAATATTTTTGACTGAATAGAATGGGCGTGAATTTAGGGAAAGGGTATTAAATATGAAGCTTTTATGTACCATTAAGGAATTGACATTTTATTATCTAGGATTCCACTGAAAGCCATTGAAGTTTTTTAAGCAAGTGAGTTTTGTCTTTTTTTTATTTTAGAGAGGTGACAGGCTACACTGTGGAGACCACATTGGGTGATGGAAGTGGAATTCAGGAGACAGGTGGCATAGGGGTTTGGGGATTGATGGCCATCACCCACTAATACAATGCTACATTAATATTTGTTGAGGCTATTGTAGTTTTAAAGATGAATTAAAATAGGATAGATAAGAATCTTTCAAACAGTAAGATAAATATATTGCTTTATGAAACTTGTTTTAGTTTGATGCAAAGGTATTGGTATAAAATCAAATTTAAAAAGGTTTTTATGGGTTAAATTAAAAAGTTTGAGAGTTAATGTAGGTGAGACAGTATGTTAGTCCAGGCAAGAGCTGATGGACATCAAACTAGATCAGTAGCCTTGGAGATGGAAATAAGGGACAGATTTAACATCTTTGAAAATACATGTGTAGAATTTAATTGCTTGCCAGTAAGGGAAAAAGGAAGATTATTTTAGATTTTTTTTTTGTGGGTGTTAAAGGTAAGGAAGTAATACATATCTGTACGTAGGAATCGAAATTTATGTTCCTCTTGATTTTATCTTACAAGTTATATTTTACTCTTCTGATATATCAGGTAGGCCATAAAAAGATACATTTTAGCATCCTTATAAATATCATGAGATACAACAAATATTTTAAAAAATGCATAAAAGATGAATTGTTGTAAACCAAATACTTATGTTAAGCATACCAGGTAAAGAAATAAAATATTGTCAGCAAACATAACCATTTCCATTTTTCTTCTTGGTTCTAATCCTTTCCCTCCCCCTAGTGGTAATCATAATAGCGTTTGCTTTCTTAACTTTTTAAAAATCCCAACAACAACTTGAAATACTTTTATGGAGTAATTTCTATAAGAAAATAATGTAAGTAGTCCCTAACTTGTGACAGATGTTGTTTCGATAAAGCCTTCGTAAGTTGGTTGTGACAGTCATGCACCATATAAAAAGTGTTTTTTTCATTCACATTTTTGGCCTTTTCTATTGATATCTATGAGTAGGATCTTTATTGTCTTTAGGGGTTGGAAATACACATATAAATAAACTGACATACTTTAACCTGTGTGTGGTATATATTGTTAATGATAAAATGTACCCAAGAAAATAATCCAAAAACAAACGGTCCTAACTGCAGAGCATCGAAACTTGAGTACTTAGTAAGTAGGGGACTATCTGTACTGGAAAGAATGAGGCTGTAAAAAAGCTTATCTAAGATATATTTTTTTAGAAAGCAAAATCTGGATACTTTAATTAGGTATTCAAAAGAAATAGAGTCCCCTGGGTTTTACAAAGGATTGCTTCACTTGCCTGCTGGCTGGAAGGTTGGAACTTTGAGTCTTTCAGAAGACGGGTCTGGAGATCTGTTTCTAAAAAAATTAGCATTGAAAACCCCGTGGAGCATGGTTCTATTCTGACCCACAGAGTCACCATGAGGAATCAACTTGATAACCATTTTATTGGTTATGTTTACAAGTATGTCAGTTACATATATGAGAAGTACAAGGTTATAAACGAAAAGTTTTAAAAGTAGAATATGGATAATAGGAAATAGCGTTTTTCCTATCTTAAGATTTTAATAATGGGATAATGTCTTTTTAGTAAGACAAATTTGTTTCATGTTCATGTAGTCTGTTGCAAAAGGACCTTCATTCATTTAATATATAGGTAGCCCTCAAATGACTTATTTGAAACACACTTATGACTGGGCTTCCCTTCCCCCCCTTGGGGCATCA